CTTAACCTTCTCTTTAACTCTGAATAACAAATAAAGACGGAGAAATAAACCCGGCTTCACCTGCTTTCACATTCCTGACCAGCTTTTCTGTTTTGCAGACATTAGATCAGTCCTTCCTGATCCCAACGTCTGCTCCCTCCCCCTCAATCATGTCTTCTGTCTGCAGTTAGCCGTGTTTGGCATTAGCAACCAGGTGGCCGTCACCTTCAAGGAGGAAAACACCATGACGTTCAAGCATCTCTTTCTGAAAGACTACGATCCGTCATCAGATGACTCCATTGCTGTTTACACCCAGCAGGACGTCTACGACCACATGTTCTACACCCTGGAGAAGGTAAGAGGATCCCAGCCTGCTGACGCGGACAAATCAGATGTCTCGGTTTCCCTCACTGCCTCTGATGTCATCCCTCAGTACCTCAGCTTACCAGAGACCACAGTGGGGCGCTACGCGTACGTCTACAACGTGAGCGGAAACGGCAGCGCCCTCTCCCTCTGCCAGCAGTACTACAAGAAGGGACAGATCGATCCGGCTAATGATACCTTCAACATAGACCCTCAGATTGTTACAGGTGCGCTAACCGTAGGATGATAGCGGCGTGCTAACGGCACGCCTCTGAATGAACGCTGCAGTTTAAGGAACTGTTCTATTGAGACGGAGATGAAAAGAGATCCTGGCTAAATGAAGCTGCTTCACATGTTGTTAAACCTTAAAGGTTGCAAATGTTTTAAAAGGCCAAACCTCTCAGATTAAATACAGAATGAACAACTCTGTTCCTGCTCCCGAGAGGGAACGCCTATTTAATGTGTGCGAGAGCGTGCACAAGCACATTTCTCCTCGTGCATATTAAACTGAAATATTTAAAAATCACTTAACTTTTTTTTTATTCTAATCCTCTTCTGCATAAATGTGACTCTAATGTTACCATCAGTTATAAAGCTAAGAAAATGAAGTGTAATGAAGTTATCATCCATGAGTGTAGAAAATGTTCCTTTAATGCAGCAAAGCTTCTGTTCTTAACATTTTTCCTGCATTACTTTTACTTTTATACTTTAAGTCGTTTTAAAAATGGTAATTTTACACTTTTAAAAGCTGAAGTTGATCCAACAGTTTTTAAACTGTTGGATTTATGCTGGAAGAATAAACATTTATACTTTGGTGACCTGCTGACCTGTTTCTGCTCAGCTGTTGGTGGAATCATCAATCCCTGGAGGATTCAGCCTGCAGGCCACGTTACCTTCAGCAGATTAAATTAAAATGATTGGAGATGTTTTGGGATCCCAGTGAGTTAACAATGTGAAGCTGTTCTGCAGCCATGATGGTTGATCTTTAAACCTGCTGGTACCAGCGCCGTGTGAGAATCACTGGACAGGATTTACCTGCAGAAAGATAAAGCAGAGAACAGAGACTTTAAACATGTAGGTCCTCAGAAACGGGGGAAACTCTAAAGCTCATCAGCGCCATTAAGCGGAGTGATGTCCATCATGTGTGAGGCTGGGCGATGGGCGGCCATGTTTTACTGGGCGGCGGCGGCAGGCAGATTTCTGAGGCGTGAGAATAAACATAAACCAAACGGCTGGAAAACAAAGACCGCCACCGACAAACCGCCCGACTGATGCGATCCTCCGCCACAGGTTGGGAAGAACGTTCAGAAGGTTTCTGTGATGTCACCAATGATGTCACCATGTTCAGCTGAACACATTTTTCTCTGTTAATTTAATCCAGGATTTCCTTTTTAACTCATTAACTTCTTTGTAATCTTTATTTTTCCTCTCAGAGACGTGAGGCTGAATCTTTTTCATTCCAGACTTAAACATTAGAGACGTGTGAAACCTTTCAGCAGCGCTACATGTTGAGCTTTTAGACTCCATCCCTGTATTAAACTCTCCTCTCACACATAATGCTGTAATTAACGTGTCTTTATCCTGACCTCCCTGCCTGTCGGCTTCGTTTTCAGACTGCGTCGGCGTGAATCCGCTCTCTGTCCCGCAGACTCAGCTCACCAACAGCTACAAGAACTTCACACTCAAGTTCCACAAGTAAGGCTTCATCTTTCTCATGGTTTCTGTCTTTGTTGGCGAGTCGTCGCTGGGCTGCTGTATCTGATGAGGGTCACATTCGCTCCCTTATCTGTTTGCAGATGGTTCCTGGTTTCATGGATGTTCTCCGTTTGTTTCAGGTTGATCAACGTCACCATCCAGTTCCAACTGAAGGCCATCAATATACAGACCATCATCAACAACGAGATCCCAGACTGCTACACCTTCCACATCACAGTAGGTTCAGGCGAAGGTTGTCGGAGCAACATCTCTCTGCTTCCATACGAAGGAAACGTTTAATCCTCTCAGGATGGTTAGTTTTGCACGGTTTGTGTTCTGCTTCCAGATAGTGATGGACAACAAGGCTCACAGCGGAAAGGTGAAGATCTGGTTAGAAAACCGGGCGGTGATCAGAGAATGTAAAGATCCCAGCGTCTCTGGACACGGTGGGTCACTGCAGCCGCCGTTTCCTGTCATCAGTTAAACACTCTTCACTGATAGAGAATAAAAAACATTTTGTTTTTATTCCTGTTTTTGTAAAGCTTTGATCTTAAAGGGATTCATTTAAACTTTTAGTTTTTAGAGTTTATTCTGTATCAGTCGCTTCAGTTAGCATAACTAGCATCACATCATCCAGACATGGCTGCCGCCGAAAGCTGCTTCGCCAGACTGTCGGTCAAAGACGCACCAAAGGACGGCAGGCTTCAGAACATTTCTGTAAATATGTTTATTGCTAGTCTGCCCTGTTTGATAGAAAATAAAATGACGTGTTTAAGGTTCCATAAAATTAAAACCGTTTGTGGAGGAAATAAAAATGGCATTAAAGCTCCTCCTCAGGGGATTTATGGTAACTTAGGTGGCTGTTTGACGTCCTTCTATGGTTGGTAGCGGCCAGATGGGATTATATCGTTCTTGTTGCATAATCCAGGTCCACAAAGTAGGAAACAGAGATTAGCTCCAATTATGTGCAATTTCAGTCAACGGGATAAAGGAAAACTAGGCGGAACTTTCTGGACCTGGATTATTTCTGGACCTGGATTATTTCTGGACCTGGATTATTTCTGGATCTGGATTATTTCTGGATCTGGATTATTTCTGGACCTGGATTATTTCTGGACCTGGATTATTTCTGGACCTGGATTATCCTCCTCTGCTGTCGCGTCATTAAACAACATAAAGTAAAGCATCTTTTGGAGGAATCATAAACTGAGGTTATATATATTAAACCTACCTCTGAACAAACGGTGATAAACTGCAGTTTAAAGCTCTATAATGGATCATAAGGTGAAAGGTCACTGCTTGGGTCCCAGAGGTTTTGAGTTCAGCTCCCGCAGACTGCCATTCTGGGTCCCTGAGAAAGACCCTTAATCCCACGCTGCTGCCCAGAGGCATGGGTTAAATGCAGAGCGTGGATCAAATTTAATTGTATATTAAAATCAGACAGTGGCCGTCCTGTTGAGACGTGTTCAACAGTGGAGGATTATATTAAAACTCTTTCTATTGTGTGATGATGAAGATTCTTGGTCATCCAGGTCATCGTCTTTCCAAAAATCCACAGAATTTTTATTTTTTCATGTTTGAAGACGTTTCTCTTCCATCCAGGAAGCTTTTTCAGTTCAAAATGTCAGAATGATGTTGAGTTTGAGGCCTTAAGCCAAAATAAGTCTTGGTTTCTGGTCCAATCTATAAGGCCTCAAACATTTTGAATTAAAAAATCTTCCTGGATGGAAGAGAATCGTCTTCAAACGAGGAAACAACGTCCAGAGGATTGATTTTATTAACTCTTTAGGAATCTTTCCATTGTGTGAGCTTAGAAATATGTTAGTATTTTTCAGTCAACAAAATGATGGTAAACAGACAACAGTGAGACAGATCATCTGGGTGTCATTCATTCATTCTTTTAGTTTTTGTGTAAAATTTGCACCAAGAATGAAAAACCAGGAAATGTATAAATTCAGGTTTTCAACTCTGAGGTTAACCCAGAAGTGAAGGAGACTCAGAGTCCCGGCTGAAGCTCCAGTGAAGAACATTTCCAGACTGCATCCCATGATGCTTTGAAAGCGCTTAGAAATGGAGATGTTAGAAATGTTGGAGTAAAAGGCGCGTGACGGACGCTCGACCTGAACCTGCATCCATTGAGCTGCTGATGTTTCTCAGACAGATGTTCCTGCTGTTATCAGTTATTAAAGGTTTTAACGTTTCTGCGACGTCACAAACTGAGAATATAAAGCATCCAGACCTTCGCAGACCTCCACTGCCTCCGTCCCAAACTCCTAAAAACCTGCAGGTTCCTTCAGATCCCAAAGCAAAAACAGAAAGAAGATGAATCTCTTTAATAGTTTTCTCCATATGTGATTTAGCAGGTGTAGCGGGAAATCCAACCGCACAGGTTCAGATCCTGTTCGTCACGCCAAATTGAAGCGGGAAAAAAGTGTTCAACCGTTTATTCCAGTTAAATGAACGGAGATCGATGGATTTCACTCAATCAGCATTTTATTTTATCTTTGCAAATAGAGAACAGTTCATCATTCGGCCTTTATTACGGTAATCAGCCCTGATCTGATCCAGCAGCGTTCGTTCCTCCTTACTGACAATAATGGAAAGTAGTCAGAGTCAAAACTAATCAGTCAGATAATCTGGTTTGTTATGAGAAGGAGGTATGTCTGGTCTACAAACAAACTTTTTTGTGAGTAAATAGGATGAATTTATATATGAAATAAACCAATTCTGACCACAGAGGAAAATGGAAAACATGTTTTTTTTCTAGATCTATTTTAATTTTTTCTTGGTTTTTTTTGTTTTTTCATTTTTGGTTTCAGTTTAACAAACTAGTTAAACTAATCAAAGATTCACAGCTTGAAAATGATGGTTAATATTGCTTTTTTTTTAAACTATGCCTCAGTTCTGTGTTTTCATTATAACACCAGTTCAGATCCAAGCTTTTCCTGTCTTAGAACGGCCTAGTCAAAGTTCAAAGTTCAGTCCAACGAGGAACCCGCCTCTGTGATCTGCAGACATCTAAAGTCCAACCGTGTTTCCACAGCTGAGAACTTCACACGCGTTGCCTTCGACGTGGCCGTCTCTCTGGTCTGCCTGCTGTCTCTGCTCCTGTGCGGACGCTCCGTGCTGCGCGGCATCGTGCTGCAGCAGGTATGACTGATGAGGATGATGATGGTGATGGTAAAGATGATGACGATGATGGTGATGATGGTGATGATGGTGATGTTGGGCTCCCTCTACAGGAGTTTGTGCAGTACTTCAGGGAGACTCTGGACCGTAAGGTGTGCTGGGCGGACCGGCTGGAGTTTATCAACGGCTGGTATATCCTCCTCATCATCAGCGACATCTTCACCATCACCGGCAGCGTCATCAAAATCGGCATCGAATCAAAGGTCCCGCATCACCACAACAAACTATGGGTTTTATTTGCTTATTAGTGCAGTAAAAGCATGACGCTGCCACCACCGTGTTTTATTGTAAATAATTGGTGCAGATGTTGTTTTTCTCCTGGCAGATGTTCTCATCCTACGACATCTGCGGCATCCTGCTGGGAACCTCCACTCTGCTGGTGTGGGTGGGAGTCATTCGCTACCTCACCTTTTTCCAGAAGTACAACGTAAGTCCCCCTCCCTGCGGCTCTTATGTCGGAGAACGTTCCTGTAAACACCTCCGTGATTCCGGCAGATTCTCATCATCACCCTCCGAGCGGCGTTCCCCAACGTGATCCGCTTCTGCTGCTGCGTGGCCGTCATCTACCTGGGCTACTGCTTCTGCGGCTGGATCGTACTCGGACCGTATCACGTAAAGGTGAGATTAGAAAACCTCTCTGACACGACTGGAGGGACCGGGATGGTTTCTGGTGACGAATGGAAAACCGAAAAAAATATTCTGAGATGCTGTTCAGAAGCAAACCATGCTGGAGGCCTGGATCCAGACCTGGATCCAGACCTGCATCCAGACCTGCATCCAGACCTGGATCCAGACCTGCATCCAGACCTGCATCCAGA